TTTTTCCTCTTCTATTATCACAAACTGTGGATCACAGACTGATCTCAGTGCATCATCCGTTTGATTTATTGGCTTTTGTCCCAAGTTGTTCACTTCTAAACCAAGAAAAAAAAAAAAAAGAACAGGAAGATTATGGGTGATCCTGTAAGTCTTTCTTGCTTTGCAAACGAAATTTTTGACAAGGTTTTTGATCCAATTGTTAAGTACCTTGTCATATATCCAATCACTGCTCTGTACGTGTGTAAACAAAATGTTACGAAGCTGTCGGCTAAACTGGGTGAGCTGGCCATTAGCAAAAGGGACCTGCAGCACAGAGTTTATGAAGCTCAGCAAAGGGGGGGCGAGATTTTGGAGGAGGTCGAGCAGTGGATGAGCGAAGCGCACGAGCACATCAGTGGAAGGAGAAAGGCCGACATAGATGAATTAATAGCAAAAGCTGAGAGGAAGTATTGCTTTGGGTGTTGTCCTAATCCCAAGGCTCTCTATGATCTTAGTGAGAAAGCTAAGGAGTATGCTGCGGATGTTGATGGACTCAAGCAAAAGGTTTTCGAAAGTGTTTCCTACTTTCATGTTCAGAAACAGGAAAGTTTTGTTTCACGGGATGATTTTGTTGACTTTAAATCAAGAAACAAGGTTTTGGGCGAGATCATTAAGGCACTGCAGAGTCCAACTGTTGACATGATAGGGGTGTACGGGCTGCCTGGTGTGGGGAAGACAACTCTGGTGAAAGAAGTTAGAAGAAAAGCTGAGCAAGAGAAATTGTTTGATGTTGTGGTCATGGCTAATGTGACAAGCAATCCTGACTCGGCAAAAATTGTAGAGGAAATGGCACGTGGCTTGGGTATGTTTCAGCTTCCTAAAGACCTCTCTCCTCGGCAAGTAGCTGATCGAATAAATGGACGGTTAACAAAAAAGAATGCGCTTGTTATCTTGGACGATATTTGGGGGAAAATCGATTTGAAGAAGGATCTTGGAATTCCTTCTGGAAGCAAGCAGAAGCGTCCTGTAGCAGAGCAACAGAATGAAGAGGGCTCACTGCCAGTGCCACAGAATGAGGAGAGCTCATTAAGAGAAGAGCAAAAGGAGT